AAATTAAAGAAATACAATACTCTTTTGGCTACAGCCAGATGCTCTAAACAGTTTTCTTTCCCTTATAAATAGCCCTTTAAGTATGCTCTGCTGTTACGTACTGTGTGACTTAACTATAGGATTCGTGATGCCCACCAGGAAGGTATAATGTATTCTGTAAAGTCGCAGGCTGACTACAAAAGTGTCAGAAGAGTACCTCAAAGATGTTACCATCTATAACTTTCTACATATGTTTAAAAAATAATAATATTCTGATAGTAAAATATCCATGCTTGGAAGTGAAAACCTCCTTTAACAGGTCTTAATGTTGCTGGACAGGTGGAGGTAGTTCCACCAGTTTTGTTTTTTTTTTAAAAAAAAATAAAAATAAAAAAGACAAAACCAAAAAGTGAGCACAGGTACATCTCTGCATGAAGAGATCTGTAGCATATATCTTCTCTGACAGAAAGGTCCTAATGGTTAAGTGGGTAGTGAGAATTCTATTTAAAAAAAAAAAAAAAAGGAAAATAAGCACATACTAACAGAATGGATGCAGCCAAAATAATTAAGATTTTATGTAACTCATTGCCAGATACAAAATATTTCCTAAAAAGTACCAAAAAATGAAGCTTTGGGGGAGAAGAGCTGCAGTAATACTCAGTGCCTACCAACGAGCTGGAGCTATTTTTTTGTGTAGCTTTGGGTTGCAGTTTCATGTAGGACAGAACTAGAAAGCCGAGGATTCCTTCTCCGACTGCGGTAAATATTCTTGTTCACCACTTTTTACAGGAACAGTATTTTCAGTAGGAAGCAAATTATGGGCACAAGTAAAATTCATGTCCAAGTCTTCCAAAGTTTAGTGGTTACCCAGGATTGTCCGTCTAGCTCCTAGTACCTCTTCGTCTGAAAGCTCTACATCTTGTACATGAAAATGCTCCATGTAATCTGCCCCATTCGAAGAAATGGGGGTCATACTCGGCACCTAAAAGACTAATTCTCCTTCTGTCACCTGCATGTAACATTTTACTCCAGTCTCATTCAAGACATCAGAAAACATGACACCCTGTAAAATATGAGGCTTTAAGTGTTGTTCAGATGTGCCGCTTGATGGCACTTCTCCTGCCAGTATGCATGCAGATTTCTATAGATCTTTTTTCCCTGCAGAAGGAGAATTTGATATTGCAACAAATGAAACATGAAAAACGAGCCCTGTCTGGTTCCATATGGTATATAGTGGTCTTCACAAGACCCGACATATCAAGCACTGTCTGTTCCATTACCTAAAGTGGCATTCCAGCTTGCAATCCTATATGACGAGAAACTCAAAACCTAAGAACAAGTTACTGACCTTCATTAAAAGTGTGTCATTGTAAATTATGCAATGATACAGTTTTCACTTCAGTCTGACATGTGCCAGCTGAACAGTGTATTACTGGAAACAGGCACTACACCACTGTTTGACCACCCCATAGCTGATAAAAGGGAGTGATGTTGGCTGACTTCTCCCACTTCCCTTGTAAGGAAGGAAATGTTATATTTTATTTTTTTTTACTGTGCTAGGAATTGATGACTTTCTGCTGCTATAGCAATAGCTGATGTTAAACTTTAGTAGAGATACTTCGCTTTAGTCCTGCAGCAAGACTAGTGGCTCTGAATAGCGGGGGGTGGTGGGGTGGTGGTGGCTGTCGTCTTCTGGGTTTTTTAAATTTTTTATTTTAAGGTGAAGTCCCAAGCAAGTGTAACTGCTAGTGAACAGGTCATCCTGAATATAAATAACGTAATACTCCCTGTACTACCAAGGAGCATGTATTCCATACTTTAACTTTTTCTAGAAAATAGAGTTAATTGGTATTTTTTTGTAGAAGCTCTCCAAATTAGCTCTCATTTCTCCAACCTATAATAGGTTTTAACAGTTTTACCTGTTAAAATTGGGACTTCATCTTTCTCATATGTGATCCTGTTTAGGGTCAGTGTTGGAAACTAATGCCTGACACCATTTTAAAAACAAAAAACTGCAGTCATCAGCAGGACACTGACTTAATTTTTTTAATGTGCTCCAGCCCTGAAAAATTACATCCCAGAATGGTCAGTGGTCCAATACTGAAAGTAGCCTGTATCACTTGTAATCCCTGCTTCTGCCTGGTTCATGTTTGGAGGAAAAAGATAGCATTTTTGTGGTAAGCTGGGCTTTTTATTATTAAAAGAGGTGGTTGTTTTGAAGCTGCTCAGAGGTTAGGAATGCTGGCAATCATCTGGGGAGACAGATTAGTGGGCTGAGTGCAGGTGAGGAGGTCACAGGCACAAAACAACCACCACTTTTGTGGTGCCACCACCGTAGTGGTGGTTCAGCCAAAGGAAGCTACTTCAGAAATGAGCTATGTGTGTTGGGAGGACCATCATACTCCTCCTGTGACACTGCTACCTGATCATCACAAGGGGAAGAAAACAGCGCTGTCAACAAATCTTCCCAGGTGAATTATTTGGTAAAGCTTTTGCAAGTCTGCCTTAAAGTAATTCAGTATTAATACACTAACGTAGAGGGAGAGAACTGGGTGCTTTTGGGGAATAGATGGGTAACTAGGGCACGTGTTTCATTTTGCCTGTAGTGCAATAAACTGCACCTGCCAACCTTATTTTCTGAGTCTTTAAGGGATGCAGCTTTTGTTCTGAGTTTGGTTTGCCAGTACTGCAAGAGACAGTCTTAAACACATAAACCCACATGTAATGTTAATTGCCATCTTAAACTGAAATTTTGGGATAAAGGTTGTCTTGAGCTTTAAGGTACAGTGCTACTATTCCACAGTGCTATGCTTCAAGTGAGGAAGCATTTTGATTCTACATCTGAATCCCCAAGCTGTTTTCATAGGACTGTCACAGAAATTCATCAGTGAATTGTGAGGAGGGCGCAGTGTTTGAGACTCTGTTGATGAAAGACATCTCTCGTGCACCCATACTTTACAAGGAAAAAGTATTTGTTGCCAACCTTCAAAATCATCCATCAGAACTTACAGTCTAAGTCAAAGTAGATGATCCTGTTGACGAAAGAAAAGGAATAATACCTGGCTTTGGCTGCCGCAGGTGGCTTGTGCTTTCAAAAGGGCAGACACTGCACTGACTCTGCACACCAGGTGGACTTGAGAAGGTGCCATCTTCACACAGTCTTGGCTGGGAATACGCTTCCAGGAATCAGTCAGGAGCTTCTTGTTCTTGGGTGATTTTAAGGACTTCCAGTCCTGTTCCTCACCAGTCTAAATAACGCAGTAGGGCCTGTGCAGTTGCTACAGCTCTGAACGGCCTCGGAGGAGAGCCAAGAGGCAAGTGTGAAGTTAAACATAACAAACTTGTCCAAGGAGTATCTTTATTTCGCAGAAGCTTTTCGTTCTGTATGACCTTCTAGGTGCCGCGTGATGTCCTCAGCATTAATATAGCCACGGTAAATAAGTTACAGGAGAATGCAGAAAGTCTTTCTGAAGTCTTCAAATGATTTTTTTTTTTTTTTTTTTTTTTTTTCCAGCCCAAAGAACCTTGTAGGATCACAGAATAATTTAGGCTGGAAGGGACCACTGGAGGCCAGCTAATCCAACACCCTGCTCCAAGCAGGCTCAGTTAGATCAGGTTGCTGCTTGGCACTTTTTTTAGTGTCCTTTGAGTTGTGTAATTTAATGTCACTTAATTGAAGTCTGCCAATGATATGCCTTGAAAGCTGACTTGAAACTGAGACCTTGCAAGAAATAAAAATGTGATTATAAGCTTGTTTTTACTAACACTTTTTTTTTCCAACCTTTATCATGTAGAGACATTGTCTTTCTCAAATATTACTATGCAGGGTTAATTTGTCAGATATAAAATTTTCTTAGTGCCACTTCTGTAACTGTACTTTGTATTTTACTGCTCATCTTCAACAGTAGAATAAATTGAAAGTCTGCTAGTTTATCTGAAAAGTGTTAGGATGCTTAAACTCCCAGTGAAGTAATTTTCCAGCTAGTGCATGCTTCATGTTTAAACTATGCACAGTATTTTTAATGTGAAATGCAGTGACGCATTTTGTACATTAGCAATTTCATTACTAAGTATTTTTTATGCAAAGCACAACATGAGCTTCTTATATGGAATAACTTGTCATATTATTTGGCTGATTTAAAGTTGATCACTTTGCACATGCCCTTGAGATACCACTACAGAGACAGAAATACTTAAACAATTCCTTAAACAATAGACCCTACAAAGGCTGCTTTCCTATGGATCTTCCTCTCAAGGGCAGGAGTGTGTGTGTGTGTGAGTCCATGCCTGTTCTGTGATATGGACTAGGCAGCAGAGCAGTTTCTTTCTCCCTGCTTCTCTTTCTACCACGCCATTTGCTAACAGAGAACTTTTTTGGTACTTGGTGCTTTTAGCACTCTTTGTTGCTTTCATGTTCAGCTGAAATGAAGTAAAATACTCCAAGGAGAAAAGTGCTGCACTGAGAGATGCATATTAACATAAATTCTTTACTAAAAAAAAGGCTAGGCTAAAAACACGTATCAAACTACTCCCTCACACCCTGCTTTCATGTTTGTACCTAAGGTCTGCTATCAGTTAAGGCTGTGTATTGCATATTAAAGTACTCCCTGATTCAGACTTTTAGGTTAGGAATGTGTATATACTCCTTGCCCACTTCAGATGTATGTGTAAAACTACAATCCAACTCTGAAAATGCGGTCTCGCATCTAAGATGGTATATCAGGCCTGCAGCTGCAAGTAATTGCATTCTGCACAGCTGACAACAGGAGCTGAAAATCAGAAGTCTCTTTTTTTTCCCCTAAAAATATGGAAGAAATATGGGTAGTTACTGAAAACAACTCATTTATGCTGAACGATGTGCTGAAACAACGGTTAGAGTAAGCGGAAGAATTCCTTTGATTTTTTTTTTTTTTTTCCATATTATTGGGAGTGTGGCTTCACTAAACCAGATTTAAGAGGAAAATGCCCTGTAGATTGTTATGCTCTCTTTGATTGATACATCGGTACTGTTTCTCTTTCAGATGAAGTGGACTACAGTAATTTTGGGACCAACACACTGTCGAGGAAGAAGAAGGCTCTGGTGACACTCCGCAATGACAACCTCCGCCGGCGTCCTCACATTAACATTAGCATGCCTCATGATTTTAGACCGGTGTCTTCCATAATCGATGTGGACATTCTTCCTGAAACACACAGGAGAGTGCGGCTGTACCGACATGGGTGTGAGAAACCCTTAGGATTTTACATTCGTGATGGCACCAGTGTAAGGGTTACTCCTCATGGACTAGAAAAAGTACCTGGTATTTTCATCTCTCGTATGGTTCCTGGAGGCTTAGCGGAGAGCACGGGCTTGCTGGCTGTGAATGATGAAGTCCTGGAAGTTAATGGCATTGAAGTAGCAGGAAAGACTCTCGACCAAGTCACAGACATGATGATTGCCAACAGCCACAATCTTATTATCACGGTCAAGCCAGCAAACCAGAGGAACAATATTATTCGAAGCAGTAGGATGTCTGGTAGCTCTGGCCAGTCTACAGACAGCACTGCTAGTCACCATAGCTTGCCTACATCCCACGTGCTGCAGAACTTCCACCCTGATGAAATGGAGAGTGACGAAGAGGCTGACATTGTCATCGAGGGCGGCCTGGAGCCACAGCACATTCCTAAACTGCACAGCCTTACTTCCAGTAGCCTCTCTCGAATCAATGGCAGCAGCCTTAGCCACAGACTTCAAAGGGACCTGGTGCTCAACAACAACTCTGGCCGAGAAAGCAACGGCAACATCCACAAATTACTCAGTTCCTTAAAAACTGATCCCCGACACAGTCTGGTTATCCCCAGAGGAGGAATCGAGGAGGATGGAACAGTCATTACACTTTAGTAGCAATTCCCGCAACTCTCCTTTCAGTCTTAAGTGCCAATTGGGACCATTGACTCTTGCAACATGTTATGCACAAAACAGAGAGCTGATATCCTCTTAGACCTCACGGGTGCAGAAAATTGTTGCTTTCTAGGAAATGTGGCATCTGGAGTTAGACATAAAACTGTCACGCAGTGCAAAATTGGTCAGGAGAAAGCCGGAGTAAAACCTAGTTTGTCCCAGCCCTAAAGTGAGAACTCAAATTTGTTTTAGTTGGTATAAATCTAAGCAGTCTTACAGGCTACCAATGGCAGTGCTACGTACTGGGGTTTGAATGCATGGGTGGATGTATTTATACATGCATGTATATGAATTAGACTTTAATAGCAACAGACATGTCTATTTGAAGTGGAATCTGGTTTTATTCTAATACCAGTTTAAAGAGAGCGCTTTTTCGTAGCCATCCGATCTTCCACCATTACATACAGACCTTCCACTAGCTTGTTTACACCGTATTTGCAACCTCATGTCTAACCCAGACAAGCTCTGTGAAACTAGTGGTTTCCTACTCTGGTGGTAGCAATGTTAGGGAGATGCTGCAAATACATTTTCCAAATGAAATGGGATTTTTTTTTTTTTTTTTTTTTTTTTTAAAAGCCTAAGGATGCCATATGGGAGGATGTTGCTGCTATTGCTGTGAGATCAGTTCCACCTGCTGGTCAGAGGCAGGGCTGCCTGACTGCAGCACAGGCCTGTGCTGCATGGGGGAAGAAAAACATGACAATTAAGGGCTTGAAACTAGGTTCGGCATCATTAGGTGTAAATGTATTCTCTTTCAATATTTATTAGATAATACCTCTCTTTCAAATAGGTTGTGTATTTTTTTTTTTTCCCATCATCTCTGTTTTCTCAGTATCATGGTTCATGTGAATTTTAGGGACACAAGCAAGAAGGTGGGAGAAGTTGGAAGTGTGTGCTAGGACTGTCCCCTTCGCCTCCCAGCCTTACAGAAGATGGGCTGATTGCTATACAGAGGAGGGATTCTGACTGTCAAACCTAGCTTAGAATAGTTCTGTTATTTTTGGACTCTTCTAGTAATCATAAAGCTTACCATCTACACGGGATTTCTAGAAACTTAAAATGTACTGGATGCTTGCGATGGTCAGACGTCTGTACTGGATGCTGGCCAGTGGGTTACCAGCAACTGTTGAGGCGACAACTCTCTGCTTCTGAAAATGCCATGGATTTATGGAAGTGGTCTAATCTAAGATATTTTGTTATATCTTGATCAGTGTAAGGAACAAAATATAAATGTTTTACAATGTATTTTTCTACTTTTAGCTTGTGTCATTTTCTTTTTGTTTTTAACTTTGTAGTACATTAAAGCTTTTTTTATATGGTGGAATAGACATTTCTTAAGTATTGTATGGATATGAAAATTCAGAAGTCTTGGTTTGAAGAAATTGCATTCCATTTTGGAATCGGTAATGGCTGGACAGAGGATGTGCGGACTAATTCATTGTCGCTAATATAGAATACCTGTGGAACAACCAGTCTTCTGCTCATTGTTAAATATGCTTGGGACATTGAACTTAGTTTTATTTCTTTTAGATTTGCTTTAAAAGTTTATTTTAAAATTCTTTCACTTACTCTAATTAAACCTCTTCTAGGTATCACAGCAGTTAAAGAGCTGTACTTATTTTTCCCAGCACAGTAAGAATAGAACATTGATCCTGTTCATCTTAAAACTGTGTTTGTACTTTACCAAAGGTTTTTCTTTTTTTTTAAAAAAAAATCTGATTATTGGTGCGGTTAACAAAAACGAATAGCTGGATGCTCTTCAGTCAATCAGACCGTCTTATCAGGAAGATTTTGTTACACCTTAAATAAGACTACTTTTATGAATAAGTGGTTTTGCCTGGCTGAAGTTACTCATTTTACCTTATTTAACTGATGAAAATGTGACCTGTCTGCAATAAAATGTGCACTGTCTTACCTCTACGCTCTATGCTTTCCCCTACGCTCAAGCACGTCTTTCTGTAAAGCATCTCCCCTCCCTGTGGAAACAAGGTTTTGATGACTCCTCAGCTACAGAACCATTTGAGTTACGCTTTTCTCTCCACCAGTGCAGACTTTGATTCCTCCAGTTGTTGTTAACACTATCAAGTTTCGCTCCATAATGTTTTCTCCCAGTACTACAGCTTTTTTCCTAAAGGGTACCGATTCCCACAGGAACCAAATAGTTTGCTGTGTTCCTTGTAGCGCAGCTTGCTGCAAACCGCGTGGCTTTGAGGGCTTGGGGTCGTGCTGGTGCCTGGGGGCTCCTCAGAAAAAGCCCCCCTGTGCCTCTGGTGCAGCGGTAACGCCGCACACCTCCCCCTGGAGCCCGCTGTCCGAATAAAGCGCGTTAGCACCGCGCAGCCCAGGTCTTCCAGCGCACTCAACATTTCAACAAGGCCAAGTGCAAGGTCCTGCACCTGGGTCGGGGTAACCCCCAGTATCAGTACAGGCTGGGGGAAGAAAGGATCGAGAGCAGCCCTGCCGAGAGGGACTTGGGGGTGCTGGTGGATGAAAAGCTGGACATGAGCTGGCAATGTGCGCTGGCAGCCCAGAAGGCCAACCGTACTCTGGGCTGCATCAGGAGAGGCGTGGCCAGCAGGTCAAGGGAGGTGATTCTGCCCCTCTACTCTGCTCTGGTGAGACCCCACCTGCAGTACTGCGTCCAGCTCTGGAGCCCTCAGCACAAGAAGGACATGGACCTGTTGGAGCGGGTCCAGAGGAGGGCCACAAAAATGATCCGGGGGCTGGAGCACCTCTCCTATGAGGACAGGCTGAGGGAGTTGGGCTTGTTCAGCCTGGAGAAGAGAAGGCTGCAGGGAGACCTGATTGCGGCCTTTCAGTACCTAAAGGGGGCCTATAGGAAAGATGGGGAAAATCTTTTTAGTAGGGCCAGCAGTGACAAGACAAGGGGTAATGGTTTTAAACTAAACCAGGGTAGGTTTAGACTAGATATAAGGAAGAAATTCTTTACAATGAGGGTGGTGAAACACTGGAACAGGTTGCCCAGAGAGGTAGTGGAGGCCCCATCCCTGGAAACATTCAAGGCCAGGTTGGACGGGGCTCTGAGCAACCTGATCTAGTTAGCAGTGTCCCTGCTCACTGCAGGGGGGTTGGACTAGATGACCTCTAGGGGTCCCTTCCAACCCAAAACATTCTATGATTCTATGATTCTCTGGCAACAGCAGAACTTGGGGACTCATCTCTTCCAACCCCTTTGCCTTCCTGGCTCTTCCCCTTAGGGGGACTGGGAGCTGCTCTTGCTCAGTTGCGAGCTTTCATGGTTAGGGAAGCAAAACTATTTTTTTTTAGAATCTGGCTTGTTCTTGACTACTTAGCATTTAAACTTAATTTGATTATATTTTATATATGTGTTAGTAGTTTGTCACTTAATTAGCAAGAGAAACACAGTAGCAAGAGACAGTGTGAGCAGTCACTTGGTGAAGAAATTAAAGGCACATTTGCTGCAGGTGATACGGACAAAATTATGCAAGCGGTAAAGCTTTTTGAAGTGATTCCCTTGTTTCTCCCCCTCAGCAGCGCTCAGACTAGGAAGACAAGGATCCCAACCACCGCTGCGTAGGGCCTGTACATCCCAGTTGTAGCCTTCTTGTTTCACAGAGAGCTTGTAATGCAGTCCGCTGACTATGAACAGTCTTGGTATTCACATGCAAAACTGCTTTTGTTTAACTCATTATCATGTATATATATATTTCTAGTCAAAACTTTTACAGATGCTTTTGCTTCTTTCAGCAATTCTTCTGAAGATGTGAACCTTGTTGCGGGTAAGTAGCTTTATATATTTACCAAGTGGAAACAAAATTAGTCACATGGGTTGCTGCCACCTTTGGATTGTTTATGTTCTAGGTTGTATTCATAGATTACAGATATCAATATGATAATACCTCATTTAGAGGAAAAAAAATACTGTAGGAAATGCATAGCAGAAGTATTTATACTTAAATGAACTGAAACTTTATCAGTGTTTCAAAAATTCTTCTTTATTATTTAATTACAAATCCAGTTTTGTTATCCCAGGTGATGGTTGTGATATGCTTAACCCTGAGAGTAAGTCCAGAATTAAATACAGCTTCAACCAGAATTTCCCTTTCCTGTGCACCTTTTTTAAAGCACGAATTCAAATATAAGCCAGTCATTTTTACTGCAAAATTTTGAAGACTTTCAAATCCCAAAGACTGAAACCGAACATTATGTGCAACTTTTTCTGTTTTTAGCCTGGCTGTTGTCTGTTTGGGGAGATTCAGTGCGGGAGAATCTGGGCTGGGCTGGGGTGTGTGTGTGTGTGTGTGTTTTCAAGTGCCTTTAACAGATTTCTCTTTTGCAGATAGAAAGCTTAGACAAGAGTCTAGAAGATTTGCTGACCAGAGTGGATGAATTTGTGGGGCGGCTGTTTTTAGCCTGGCTGTTGTCTGTTTGGGGAGATTCAGTGCGGGAGAATCTGGGCTGGGCTGGGGTGTGTGTGTGTGTGTGTGTTTTCAAGTGCCTTTAACAGATTTCTCTTTTGCAGATAGAAAGCTTAGACAAGAGTCTAGAAGATTTGCTGACCAGAGTGGATGAATTTGTGGGGATGCTGGACATGGTATGTGTAACTTGCATGTAGTTGTGGGTTTTGAAGTCAGAATGCAGTTTATGATGTACTCTGTCTCATGTAAAAACAGGAGATGGGCAGCAGCCTTTGGTCTAGGCAGGCAGGTTCCAGTGTGAAAACACACTTGATAACTAGATAACTCGTGGATGAAAAGTACTGAACTTTCATGTCGGAGCAAAATATGCACTTACAGCTCTATAACTGCATATTTACATAATTCTGTTGGTATATTTGTCCATGTACATATGTGGAATCCAGTTTTGAATGGCGTAACGATAGATGCTTAAAAGGACAATGCGATGTTCTGCTTTTCCTTTAAAATACACAAAGACTTCCTCTATGGGTTTTGTAATCAAAATATCTAACCAGAGTTGCCAAACCTCCAAAGCTAGATTTGTCTGTAGGAGACCCTTTCTTACCCTTTCATCAGAAGGGCAGCTTTGCTTTCACTTTCGCATGGGAGGAGACCAGGGAAACTGAATGGAAAGTTACTACAAGCTGACACTGGCATACAGTCTGTCTTTTAAAGCACAGCAGGTGTGTTGGTATTCTGGGGTGCATTAAGAGGAGTGTGGCCAGCAGGTCGAGGGAGGTTATCCTCCCCCTCTACTCTGCCCTGCTGAGACCCCACCTGGAGTACTGTGTCCAGCTCCGGGCTCCCAGGTTCAAGAAAGATGAGGAACTTCTAGAAAGAGTCCAGAGGAGAGCAACTAGGATGATAAAGGGACTGGAGCACCTCCCCTACGAGGAAAGGCTGAGAGAGTTGGGCTTGTTCAGCCTGAAGAAGAGAAGACTGAGAGGGGACCTTATCAACACATACAAATATCTTAAGGATGGAAGTCAAGAGGACAGACCCAGACTTTTTGCAGTGGTGTCCAGTGACAGGACAAGGGGCAGTGGGTGCAAACTGAAACACAAGAGGTTTCAGTTGTATATGAGGAAAAACTTTACTTTGAGGGTGACGGAGCACTGGAACAGGCTGCCCAGGGGGTTGTGGAGTCTCCTTCTCTGGAGATATTCAAAGCCTGCCTGGATGAAGTCCTGTGTAATGTGCTCTAGGAGAACCTGCTTTGCCAGGGGGGTTGGACTAGACAATCTCCCGAGGTCCCTTCCAACCCTTGCGATTCTGTGATTCTGTTTCTCCTGCATTGTTCGAAGGGGAACTTTACTGGTTTGGGGTTTTTTTAACCAATTGAAAAAAAAAAAAGATTATGTGGCCTGACTTTTTTTCTTTTAGCAAAGTTGAAGAAATGTACAGGTAGTAAAATTTAAGTAAAAATTTTAGTTTAATGTATTTGATTCTTTAGTGTGTCTTGGGAAGTGTTCCATCTCTGTTCTGATAATGCTGAGGCAGCCTATTTTTAGTGTATTTATAAAGGTATATATTTGTGTATGCAAAATAATTTTTGTTCAAAGGTACTTAACTAAACTGTACAAAGAAGCTACCTTACTAGTTTAAATCTAGTGGTTTCATACTAACACTAATGTAGTATTTTTAAAATACGAGTTTTAACCTGTTAATTGGAGCACAGTTCTAGTTTCCAGAATAAAATGTGCTACTTGACAGTTTATTTTATTCATCTACTTTTGCGTTATTTCTTCGAATCATTTCAGATTCGAAGTGATTCCTCTCAAGTTGTCAATGAAAGTATACCTCAAATTTACTCAAAAGCTACAGAAATGAGACAGATCTACAGGAAGATTGACAAACTAGAGGTATGTATTTGATATCTTCCAGGTGTATTCTGTTTCTCAGTAGGGGGAGGAATCAATGATATGCTGTAATTGCATGTCTTGTGCACATGCGTGCATGTGGAGTGGGTTCAGGTCCGGTCTACTCTCCATGTCCAACCTGGGTTCAATACTTCAGGGCTAATGAGGAGAACACAATTTAGTAAGAATTTCTGGAGATTATGGGTATTCTAAAACAAAATGCTTTTTAAAAAAAAAGTATTGTGTTACGTTTTTTTATTTACTGCTTGAAGCAAGGCAGCAAATTTTTTTTTTTTTTTTTTTTTTTTTTCAGAAAGTAATAATACCAGTTTTTCTTCTTTTTGGGTTTTTTTTTGACAGTGTCTTTCAAATTTATTGTCTTGGGAGCTGTTTGGACACTAGTAGAATGAGAATTCTGTTGGTCCCTGATAAAACTTCAGAACTGCGATTCATATCCTTGGCCCTGCTTTTAGTAGAAAGGCAGATAGAAATCTAAATTCTAAGAAGTATAAATTAGTTATCTAAAAGGCAAACAGGAAAAGGAAGACCGATTGTTTTATTAGATTTAGCCTGGTTTTGTAGCCTTTTAAGTATCTCGAGTAATTTTTAGCAATAAAATGCACTTGTGGGTGGAAGGGAAATAGAGGTTTTGACTCCTCCTTATTTAAGTAATGGAACTTTCACCACTCATGAAATTATATAAAACAATCCTGTTTTAATTTGTTAGTGAAAAAGTTGGGTTCTTCTGGTTTTTTCACACTAGGCTTTTGTGAAGATGATTGGAAATAGTGTAGCTGGACTGGAAGAACGGGTCATAAAGGCAGAAACAGACCTTGGAGCTTTTCCGAGCACATTCAAGAAAATCTTGCACACAATACCATCCTTCCTTAATGTAAGTAAGCTTCGGTTATCATGTGACCAGCTTAGTCGCTCTCTTTACCAGAGTGGGTAATTAAAATGATAGTGAGTTTGTTGCATCTATATCTGAATTTAACTGTAAAGCTTTCATATATACTGTGTTAGGATTTTTTATGAAGTTCTCAGACTTAATTAAAAAAAAAAGCCAACAAAACTTAAAAAATCACAAATTCTTACAAGGATTTGTGTAGCTGCCCAAAATAAGGCTGAATACACAAAGAAGGGAATGTGAAGAGCACAAACAAGCACATCTTGAACAAGCCATTATATTAAAGCACCCCGATCTCTGATGGTATGCAAAGCAAGTAGGAAGAGCCTGTACAGACAGCACTCTTAAAGGCTCATACTGCATTAAGAATATCATGGCAGAAATGTTACCAAAAAAGGAAATGAAAGCTACACTGCATGATATTTTTAAAATAAAGGTTCTGTTTATACTCTGTCCACACAGTTCAGTAATTGTGTAAGCACCTTGTTAAACTTTCTAAGGGTGCGGTTTTCTCTGCCTTTTCTCATTACTACATGTGGACTGTTTCTCTACAGAAGGCTTGAAGTGTTCTGTCTAGTATGTTTCAAAGAGATGCCATACCTAGCCTTAAATACTGGTACTATGCCCTAGTTTTAAAATAACCTCCTGGTTTAAAAAAAAAAAAAAAAATTTCTGAACCATCTGATGCTTTTTGGCATCACCTGCCAATACCCCATTAATTGTGTAAGCACCTTGTTAAACTTTCTAAGGGTGCGGTTTTCTCTGCCTTTTCTCATTACTACATGTGGACTGTTTCTCTACAGAAGGCTTGAAGTGTTCTGTCTAGTATGTTTCAAAGAGATGCCATACCTAGCCTTAAATACTGGTACTATGCCCTAGTTTTAAAATAACCTCCTGGTTTAAAAAAAAAAAAAAGAATTTCTGAACCATCTGATGCTTCTTGGCATCACCTGCCAATACACCATTTATAAGTACTCCTCCTTCCGTCTTGTCAGCTCCCAGATCTTTTTCTTTAGCTTTTCCTGTATTCATCTTGTACTAGCTCAGGTTTGTTTCATAATAGCAGCGAGAATGCTGAAATAAAGGCGGTTTGCAGAGGGGGAGAGGAAGATGGCTGTGGCTGTTGAAGTATTTGTATTCCTACATATTGCAAGCACGTGTGGCAGCAGAGAAAAATGGTTGTAAAAAGAATATATGTTGTCTTGGTAAGGCTTAGTTCAGGAAACCTGTTCTTCACTGCTGTTTCCTGTGCAGTCTTAAAGTTAGTTAACTGCTCATTCTGTCATTTTCTTTGGTGTTGAAGTTTAGAGTGATGTCATGACTTTTTTCTTTTAAAAAAAAACAAAAACAAAAAACCAACACAAAGCTGCTCTTTAGGGACCAGTTGCAAAACCAAACAACTGCAGCAGGTGAATTTTCAAGAGTATTAAAAGAATATTCAACAGTATTTTCCATTTTATTGCTAAAACCAGTTGTCAACCACAGAGTTATAATCTTCAACTGATTTTTAATTTGAAAGTTTGAAAGTTCTTATTAAGTGGTTTTTTTAGTGTTGCACGGGAACACTTTGTCAGTTTAGCAGTTTTCCCACAATTAATAAGGTGGAAAGTCCTTGAAAGTGTCAGCAGATCACTGTTCTGTAGTGGTACTGAGCATTGCGTAGTAAAGTACCTGTTTTCACTAGTAAACACAAGCACGTCTGAATGAAAATGCATACAGAGATTTCTCCTCATGCCAGACATTCAATTAGCCCACTCGATCTGTCAGCCCTTTAGAAAAGAGGGCTGTACCAGTGTCATGATTTTCACTGTAGTTGTAGTTTACATTTTCCTGCTACAATTTTAATTTACTTGAGTCCCCTCACTCTCTTCCCATTTAAATGTATCTGTTTCTTTACACAAAGGGTATATTTTGTATTTCTTAAGCTGTGTATTTGTAATCTCACTTTCAGATTTTGCCCCAAGTTCTTCCCTTGTGAATACCAGGCAATGTAAAGTACAGTACTGTAAGACTTCTAATATCTCTAAGGATGTAGACTCTGTCAAAAGGTAAAAATGTCCGCTAAGCAGCTGCAACAATAACTATTCATAAATGTGCACTTAGGCAACTGTGGGTACTATGCCTGCCTACGAATTTCCTCACTGGGTTGAAATTATCCCCTTCTTGCACATAGGCAAATATAGTGCCTCTTCAATCAGTGTCATGAGTTGCAGGATACCTGTGACCTTAGTTTCCCTTGCTTGCCTCGTGTTTTCTCATAGGTCAGTACAGGATAGGAAATAATTTTTAAAAACAGAACTTGGATTTCAGAGATCGTTTTTATGTCTGGCAAAATTTCTGATGTAGAGAACATTGATAATATCTACTTGTTATAGATCTGATCTTTGTTTATATTATTTTATTACAACTTGAATGGCAAAACAAGCTTACTTCAGAGAAATTAACGGTATTGTAAAGTTAGACAAGTATAATTTAAATGTCATAAATCAGCAATTTTGTATGTAACAGGAGAACATGTACTTATTTCATATGGAGTACAAGTATACAGCTCAATATTGGAAAAATTCCACTTTGCTGTTTTGTAGGTCTGCTTAATTATATCCTCATTTTGGTACTGTAAAAGCATTCCAAACTCCAAGTATGCTGATGATATTTGGTGTGCTTTTACCTTTATTATTGGTGAAGACTCTTAATTCCCTCATCCCAGACAGGCAAAAAAAGTACCTGAAGAACTCTGCAGACTGACTGACTGAGAGCTCTGCAAAACAGTTCATCAAAATCTTCCCTGAATTTTTAATGAAGTCTTGATTTCAAGCCTTCTATTTAAGACCATATATTGAAAACATACACTGCCTCTGTGTGGCAGTGCCACATTATTTACATGAAGGAAGGCTGGTAGGGTAGTCATGCTGTTGTCTCTTTAAATGGGCCCTTTGGTATAGCAAAACAATGTATACTTTATTTAAAAGAAACATGTATACTGTTCCTGAAAAACAGTGTAACAGCTCTCTTCCAGTCCACTACCATATTATTTTTAAGGCTATGTCATAGTACATATATTCTAACGTCTACTTGATGAAGCAGCTCGGCAGGAGCAGCAGCCTTCTCGAGAGAAACATTTGCTAGGTGTATTTCCATATGAAGACTTTTTTAACTGAGTAAATGAGAGCGCAGGCTAGGGTTAACTTGAAGGAAGCAGCTGAGGAGAACTCAAAGGCCGGAGCAGGAAAGGTAAAGGTGCGTGGCTTTGGAAGGATGAAGGTTACAAGGACGATACCATCAGAAGATTTCCTGTTTGGCTCCTGCAAAGCTGGCATACCATACACTTCGCAGGACTGCGTCTGTTCAGGTGAAGGAATGGCAAAAGTCAAAGGCTGCTTTTCTTCACTAACAGTGAGAATATGCCAGACCCATCTGAGCTGTGATAAAAATGTGCCGAAGGAGAATATGCCTTTAAAACTTGTCTTGTTTTGCATTTTAGTTCTGTAGGCTTTGTTTTTAAATTTGCTTTTTTAAGAAGGCAAAAAATAAACTTCTCTAATTTGCAGAAATCGTCTTCCTCACGACAACAACAGACCCTCTATGAACCTCCAGTCCTCTTCAAGACTGAAGACTATTTTCCATGTCTTAATGAAGCACCTTATTGATGATTTTTGCTTTGGGATTGATACTAATCAGCCAGAGTAGAGACAGCCAAGTGAACAAAAGAAATGCCAACCTCAAAACAGCTGCATTTCTGAGCATTATTGATGGCATATTGCCATACTGATTCCCATTGTCTTCCTTCAGGCAGTATTTTCAGGTAATCTTTGTTTGTGTACATTATTTCAAAAGTCTTCCTAAAACACAGTATAAATTTTCAGGTTATAGTGGGGAAGGAACTTACGAGTACTTTTGCATTAGATTTTTTTTTATAGGGAAATAATACGAAACATACTTTTATATAAAAATCTTCTAACATAAATATTTGTGCTGCTGCAAATGTAAATAGCTATACCACATGGATTTTTTTTTTTTTCCCCCCCTAATGTACTGATTGAGGTGAAAGAAAAACTATGCATAAAATCATCTACTCCAAATTTTGGAACCTGGTCTCTGCAGTTTGTACGGAGAAATGCACCATGTTGGGACATACAAGTTGCAAAGGGAGGACTTGGAAGATCGTCGAGGAGTCAAGGATGTGGCTTAATGCATGTGATCTAGTCCCAGTTCACAAAGCAAACATCCTGCCCCCACTGATGATCATCAGGTCACAGTGACCTGAGCTTCTAATTATTGCAGCATTGTATTGTTTGATGTGTAACCAGGTGGGCATGATGTGTATATACAACCTGCTGTCAAAAAGTTGAGGCAGGGGTGTCCCTGGACTGAGCCTGGATCGGGCGCCTGGCCAGACTGTCTGCTTCTCCCTCGCAACCCTCCGTGTGGTTACTGGGGCTCCCCGTGCAGATTGCACTGTGAGTATATTATCAATAAACTAATAGCTATCTAATCCCTGCTGTGGTCTTGCATTTCACCTGATAGTATTGAACCGCACTGTTGTTTCTGAGAACCTCTTTGCATACAGCCTCATATAATACCTAGTGGGTGTTAATCGTAAACTGTTGTATTCCTCTGAACAACAATTTTACTGCTCCTGGTTTACTGCCAATGTAGCTCACTACAAATACCCAAAATTAAAATTTCAGAGGAATAAGGAATGCATTAGGGAAACAACAACATGTCTGCTGATTTTGTGTGGCAGGCACAGAAAAAGATACGCAGTTGTAGAGTATTATATATTAATTAATAAAGCTTTGAAAACTATATCGTCTTGTCTCCCAGCAGCAGCAGGGACCAGGTTCTGAACAGTATCTGAAGCAACATTTAGTAAAAATTAAAATTAAGATTGTGAAGTCAAAATGAGTAGGCTCCAAAAGCAGTTCAAATGTAAAACTTACCTGAATTTTAACATAAACAATCTAGAAACAATAATTACATGTAAACATACAGAAAGGAACAGACATTTGACTTTGAAGAAGGGCTACCCCCCTGCCTCCCATACTCTGTGCTTTCATAAATACTTCAGTATTTAGATGTTCCACTGCCGCCACAGTTGCATTACCAAAAGGTGTGGTACCTTTCAGTTTATGCATAAATAGTCCTTGAAGGTTTATGACTCCTTAGTGAAATCTAATGAAATGACATGCCTGTAACTGAAAGTAGCAACATAAGGCTGCAGCCAAATACTTAAACACACTAACATTACAAAAAATGTTAAAACTTTAGAACAGCTTTCTAATTAAATGAATCAACTGCTGAAAAACCAACTTTGCACTCTGCTGAATGGAGCTAAAATGCAGTTATTTTTAAACATGATCTAATTTAAAATACTAAGATAATAAAGATCTCAGCAAGCTTACACAGCTGAGTATTTGTCATACAATGTTGTTCATGTTGGTAACAAAAAATTCACATATTCTGAAGTGGGCATTTATGCTAAACAGTTGTATGGAAAATACAAATTTTATCTTTAAAGTACACCACAAACAAAAATCGTGTAATTCCTGTAACTAGTACAGTTCTGTGTTGGAAATGCTCCAAAATATTACTGAAAATAATGGACAGTATGTGGAAGATTTGTTAAGGAAATGCTATAAAAGTACAGACAATAAAATTGTGGGGGTTTTGTATACATGATACAGAATAACAAGGTCACAGTTCATCTGTGAACTGTAGAAAAGTTCTAGAATTAAGGCAGTCTCGTAATACTGATGAGATGCACACATGCACTCTGCTGTTGAATTTGTACTACCTTGGCTGTGTCCTTGGTCTTGGTCAGTCTCGCCCA